TTTTCCCAGCACCACTTATTGAAGAGGCTGTCCTTTCTCCACTGTATATTCCTGCCACCTTTATCAAAGATAAGGTGACCATATGTGCATGGGTTTATCTCTGGGCTTTCTATCCTATTCCATTGATCTATCTTTCTGTTTTTGTGCCAGTACCATACTGTCTTGATTACTGTAGCTTTGTAGTATAGTCTGAAGTCAGGCAGCCTGATTCCTCCAGCTCCATTTTTTGTTCTCAAGATTGCTTTGGCTATTCGGGGTCTTTTGTGTTTCCATACAAATTGTGAAATTTTTTGTTCTAGTTCTGTGAAAAATGCCAGTGGTAGTTTGATAGGGATTGCATTGAATCTATAGATTGCTTTGGGAAGTAGAGTCATTTTCACAATGTTGATTCTTCCAATCCAAGAACATGGTATATCTCTCCATCTGTTTGTATCATCTTTAATTTCTTTCATCAGTGTCTTATAATTTTCTGCATACAGGTCTTTTGTCTCCTTAGGTAGGTTTATTCCTAGATATTTTATTCTTTTTGTTGCAATGGTAAATGGGAGTGTTTTCTTGATTTCACTTTCAGATTTTTCATCGTTAGTATATAGGAATGCCAGAGATTTCTGTGCATTAATTTTGTATCCTGCTACTTTACCAAATTCATTGATTAGCTCTAGTAGTTTTCTGGTAGCATCTTTAGGATTCTCTATGTATAGTATCATGTCATCTGCAAACAGTGACAGCTTTACTTCTTCTTTTCCAATTTGGATTCCTTTTATTTCCTTTTCTTCTCTGATTGCTGTGGCGAAATCTTCCAAAACTATGTTGAATAAGGGTGGTGAGAGTGGGCAACCTTGTCTTGTTACTGATCTTAGTGGAAAAGCTTTCAGTTTTTCACCATTGAGGACAATGTTGGCTGTGGGTTTGTTATATATGGCCTTTATTATGTTGAGGTAAGTTCCCTCTATGCCTACTTTCTAAAGGGTTTTTATCATAAATGGGTGTTGAATTCTGTTGAAAGCTTTTTGTGCATCTATTGAGATGATCATATGGTTTTTATCCTTCAGTTTGTTAATATGGTGTATCATGTTGATTGATTTGCGTATATTGAAGAATCCTTGCATTCCTGGGATAAACCCCACTTGATCATGGTGTATGATCCTTTTAATGTGCTGTTGGATTCTGTTTGCTAGTATTTTGTTGAGGTTTTTTTTTTTTTTTCTTGCGTTATGCGGGCCTCTCACTGTCGTGGCCTCTCCCATTTGCGGAGCACAGGCTCCGGACGCGCAGGCTCAGTGGCCATGGCTCACGGGCCCAGCCGCTCCGCGGCATGTGGGATCTTCCCGAAACGGGGCACGAACCCGCGTCTCCTGCATCGGCAGGCGGACTCTCAAGCACTGCGCCACCAGGGAAGCCCTTTGTTGAGGTTTTTTGCATCTATGTTCATCAGTGATATTGGCTTGTAGTTTTCTTTCTTTGTGACATCTTTGTCTGGTTTTGGTATCAGGGTGATGGTGGCCTCATAGAATGAGTTTGGGAGTGTTCCTCCCTCTGCTATATTTTGGAAGAGTTTGATAAGGATAGGTATTAGCTCTTCTCTAAATGTTTGATAGAATTCACCTGTGAAGCCATCTGGTCCTGGGCTTTTGTTTGTTGGAAGATTTTTAATCACAGTTTCAATTTCAGTGCTTGTGATTGGTCTGTTCATATTTTCTATTTCTTCCTGATTCAGTCTTGGTAGGTTATGCATTTCTTAGAATTTGTCCATTTCTTCCAGGTTGTCCATTTTATTGGCATAGTGTTGATTGTAGTAATCTCCCGTGATGTTTTGCATTTCTGCAGTGTCAGTTGTTACTTCTCCTTTTTCGTTTCTAATTCTATTGATTTGAGTCTTCTCCCTTTTTTTCTTGATGAGTCTGGCTAATGGTTTATCAATTTTGTTTATCGTCTCAAAGAACCAGCTTTTAGTTTTATTGATCTTTGCTATCACATCCTTCATTTCTTTATGATCTGATTTTTATGACTTCTTTCCTTCTGCTAACGTTGGGGTTTTTTTGTTCTTCTTTCTCTAATTGCTTTAGGTGCAAGTTTAGGTTGTTTATTCGAGATGTTTCCGGTTTCTTAAGGTAGGATTGTATTGCTATAAACTTTCCATAAACTTCCCTCTTAGAACTGCTTTTGCTGCATCCCATAGGTTTTGGGTCGTTGTATCTCCATTGTCATTTGTTTCTAGGTATTTTTTAATTTCCTCTTTGATTTCTTCAGTGATCACTTCGTTATTAAGTAGTGTATTGTTTAGCCTCCATGTGTTTGTATTTTTTACAGCTCTTTTCCTATAATTGATATCTAGTCTCATGGCGTTGTGGTCGGAAAAGATACTTGATACAATTTCAATTTTCTTAAATTTACCAAGGCTTGATTTGTGACCCAAGATATGATCTATCCTGGAGAATGTTCCATGAGCACTTGAGAAAAATGTGTATTCTGTTGTTTTTGGATGGAGTGTCCTATAAATATCAATTAAGTCCATCTTGTTTAATGTATCATTTAAAGCTTGTGTTTCCTTATTTATTTTCATTTTGGATGATCTGTCCATTGGTGAAAGTGGGGTGTTGAAGTCCCCTACTATGAATGTGTTACTGTCGATTTCCCCTTTTATGGCTGCTAGTTTTTGCCTTATGTATTGAGGTGCTCCTATGTTGGGTGCATAAATATTTACAATTGTTATATCTTCTTCTTGGATCGATCCCTTAATCATTATGTAGTGTCCTTCTTTGTCTCTTCTGATAGTCCTTATTTTAAAGTCTATTTTGTCTGATATGAGAATTGCTACTCCAGCTTTCTTTTGGTTTCCATTTGCATGGAATATCTTTTTCCATCCCCTTACTTTCAGTCTGTATGTGTCTCTAGGTCTGAAGTGGGTCTCTTGTAGACAGCATATATATGGGTCTTGTTTTTGTATCCATTCAGCCAATCTGTGTCTTTTGGTGGGAGCATTTAGTCCATTTACATTTAAGGTAATTATCGATATGTATGTTCCTATTCCCATTTTCTAAATTGTTTTGGGTTCGTTATTATAGGACTTTTCCTTCTCTTGTGTTTTTGTCTAGAGAAGTTCCTTTAGCATTTGTTGTAAAGCTGGTTTGGTGGTGCTGAACTCTCTCAGCTTTTGCTTGTCTGTAAAGGTTTTAATTTCTCCATCAAATCTGAATGAGATCCTTGCTGGGTAGAGTAATCTTGGTTGCAGGTTTTCATCCTTCATCACTTTAAATGTGTCCTGCCAGTCCCTTCTGGCTTGCAGAGTTTCTGCTGAAAGGTCAGCTGTTAACCTTATGGGGATTCCCTTGTGTGTTATTTGTTGTTTTTCCCTTGCTGCTTTTAATATGTTTTCTGTGTATTTAATTTTTGACAGTTTGATTAATATGTGTCTTGACATGTTTCTCCTTGGATTTATCCTGTATGGGACTCTCTGTGCTTCCTGGACTTGATTAACTATTTCCTTTCCCATATTAGGGAAGTGTTTAAGTATAATCTCTTCAAATATTTTCTCAGTCCCTTTCTTTTTCTCTTCTTCTTCTGGAACCCCTGTAATTCGAATGTTGGCGTGTTTAATGTTGTCCCAGAGGTCTCTGGGACTGTCCTCTGTTCTTTTCATTCTTTTTTCTTTATTCTGCTCTGCAGTAGTTATTTCCACTATTTTATCTTCCCGGTCACTTAACCGTTCTTCTGCCTCAGTTATTCTGCTATTGATCTCACCTAGAGTATTTTTAATTTCATTTATTGTGTTGTTCATCGTTGCTTGTTTCATCTTTAGTTCTTCTAGGTCCTTGTTAAATGTTTCTTGTGGGCTTCCCTGGTGGCGCAGTGGTCGAGAGTCTGCCTGCCGATGCAGGGGACACGGGTTCGTGCCCCGGTCCGGGAAGATCCCACATGCTGCGGAGCGGCTGGGCCTGTGAGCCATTGCTGGTGAGCCTGCGCGTCCAGAGCCTGTGCTCAGCAATGGGAGAGGCCACAATGGTGAGAAGCCCGCGTACCACAAAAAAAAAAAAAAGTTTCTTGTATTTTCTCCATTCTATTTCCAAGATTTTGGATCATCTTTACTATCATTATTCTGAATTCTTTTTCAGGTAGACTGCCCATTTCCTCTTCATTTGTTAGGTCTGGTGGGTTTTATCTTGCTTCTTCATCTGCTGTGTGTTTTTCTGTTTTCTCAGTTTGCTTATCTTACTGTGTTTCGGGTCTCCTTTTTGCAGGCTGCAGGTTCCTAGTTCCCGTTGTTCTTGGTGTCTCTCCCCAGTGGCTAAAGTTGGTTCAGTGGGTTGTGTAGGCTTCCTGGTGGAGGGGACTAGTGCCTGTGTTCTGGTGGATGAGGCTGGATCTTGTCTTTCTGGTGGGCAGGTCCACTTCTGGTGCAGTGTTTTGGGATGTCTGTGGACTTATTATGATTTTAGGCAGCCTCTCTGCTAATGGGTGGGGTTGTGTTCCTGTCTTGCTAGTTGTTTGGCATAGGGTGTCCAGCATTGTAGCTTGCTGGTCGTTGAGTTAAGCTGGGTGCTGGTGTTGACATGCAGATCTCTGGGAGATTTTCGCTGTTTGATATTACGTGGAGCTGGGAGGTCTCTTGTGGACCAGTGTCCTGAAGTTGGCTCTGCCACCTCAGAGGCACAGCACTGACTCCTGGCTGCAGCATCAAGAGCCTTTCATCCACACGGCTCAGAATAAAAGGGAGAAAAAGTAGAAAGAAAGGAAGAAAGAAAGAGGATAAAATAAAATAAAATGAATTAAGATAAAATAAAATAAAGTTATTAAAATAAAAAATAATTATTAAGAAAAAAAGTTTTTTAAAAGAAAAAAAAATGGATAGATAGAACCCTAGGACAAATGGTGAAAGCAAAGCTATACAGACAAAATCTCACACAGAAGCATACACATACACACTCACAAAAAGAGGAAAAGGGGAAAAAATCATAAATATTGCTCTCAAAGTCCACCTCCTTAATTTGGGATGATTTGTTGTCTATTCATGTATTCCACAGTTGCAGGGTACATCAAGTTGATTGTGTGGAGCTTTAATCCGCTGCTTCTGAGGCTGCTGGGAGAGATTTCCCTTTTTGTTCTTTGTTCGCACAGCTCCCGGGGCTCAGCTTTGGATTTGGCCCCGCCTCTGTGTTTAGGTCGCCGGAGGGCATATGTTCTTCGCTCAGACAGGACGGGGTTAAAGGAGCAACTGCTTCGGGGGCTCTGGCTCCCTCAGGCCGGGGGGAGGGAGGGGTGTGGATGCGGGGTGAGCATCCTCTGCGGAGGCAGAAGCCGGCGTGACGTTGCTCCAGCCTGAGGCATGCCGTGTGTTCTCCCGGGGAAGTTGTCCCTGGATCATGGGACCCTGGCGGTGGCGGGCTGCACAGGCTCCCCATAAGGGAGGTGTGGATAGTGACCTGTGCTCGCACACAGCCTTCTTGGTGGCGGCAGCAGCAGCCTTAGCGTCTCATGCCCGTCTCTGGGGTCTGCGCTTATAGCCGCGGCTCGCGCCCGTCTCTGAAGCTTGTTTAGACGGTGCTGTGAATCTGCTCTCCTCGTGCACCCCGAAACAATGGTCTCTTGCCTCTTCGGCAGGTCCGGACTTTTCCCCGGACTCCCTCCCAGCTAGCCGTGGTTCACTAACCTCCTTCAAGCTGTGTTCATGCTGCCAACCCCAGTCCTCTCCCTGCGCTCCAACCGAAGCCCCATCCTCAGCTCCCAGTCCCACCCCCCCGGCGGGCGAGCACACAAGCCTCTCGGGCTGGTGAGTGCCGGTCGGCACCGATCCTCTGTGCGGGAATCTCTCCGCTTTTCCCTGCGCACCCCTTTTGCTGTGCTGTCCTCCGCGGCTCCGAAGCTCCCCGCTCCGCCTCACGCAGTCTCTGCCCGCGAAGGGGCTTCCTAGTGTGTGGAGACCTTTCCTCCTTCACAGCTCCCTCCCACTGGTGCAGGTCCCGTCACTATTCTTTTGTCTCTGGTTTTCCATTTTTCTTTTGCCCTATCCAGGTATGTGGGGAGTTTCTTGCCTTTGGGGAGGTCTGAGGTCTTTTGCCAGCATTCAGTAGGTGTTCTGTATGAGTTGTTCCACATGTATATGTATTTCTGGTGTATCTGTGGGGAGGAAGGTGATCTCCACGTCTTACTCTTCTGCCATCTTTCCCCTCTCTCCCTAGCACATTTTAAATGCCTAAGAAATATCTGATAAGTAAATGAATAAATGGAAGAAATCCTTATTTCTAGGCAACATTATTTTGTAATGCTACCTACAAATATCATCTAAAAATATCATTAGTAGAGGGACCCTGGTGGCGCAGTGGTTAAGAATCCACCTGCTAGTGCTGGGGACACGGGTTTCAGCTCTGGTCCATGAAGATCCCACATGTCGTGGAGCAGCTAAACCTGTGCGCCACTACTGAGTCTGAGCCTGAGCAACTACTGAGGCTGCGCTCTAGAGCCTGTGAGCCACAACTAGTGAAGTCCGTGAGCGTAGAAGCCTGTGCTCTGCAACAAGAGAAGCCGCCGCAATGAAAAGTCCACACGCAGCAACGAAGACCCAGTGCAGCCAAAAATAAAAATAAATTAAAAAAAATATATATCGTTATTAGAAAATCATGTTCTGGGTAATGTTTTGATGCTTAGCATTTGTATGTTTTTGTTTGTTTGCATATCTATATAACCATGCAGATGCTTATCTTTTGTTACTTTTTAAACACCAAAAAACTGTTTGAGGAAATGAATAAATGAAGAAGTAAAAAAAAAAAAAGAAAAATTGAGAGTTTTTTTTTTTTAATACAAAGCAAATGAGAAAATAATGGTAAAGGAGTATCAGCATTGAGTTTTTGTTTGTTTTTTAAGCATGAAAAGAAGTAACATTAAAAACATTTTTATTTAAATTCAACCTCACTTTCAAGAATGATCTTTAAGTTTTGAATTTTCAGTCTTTCAAGTAATGTTTCATACTCTTCAATCATTTCTCTTTTAGTATGAATCAGATGCAACAGGAGAAAGAGCTAACAGAAAATATTTTGAAAGTGGTGAGTATTGGCATCAGTTACACTCTAACCTTTCTGGGATATATTTAGAGCATGTGTAGGTGCTTCTTCTAATCTTAGGGATTTAAGAGTTGGCAAGGTCTAGATGCAGTGGCATTTACATTTTTACTTGTTAGAACATAGTTTGGTAATATTCTAAATAGTACATTTAAAAAAAAAATTAATTAATTTTGGCTGCGCTGGGTCTTTGTTGCTGTGCCCGGGCTTTCTCTAGTTGTGGTGAGCAGCGGCTTCTCTTCATTGTGGTACGTGGGCTTCTTATTGTGGTGGCTTCTCTTTGTTTCAGAGCATGGGCTCTAGGTGCATGGGCTTCCGTAGTGGTGGCTCGTGGGCTCTAGGTTGCAGGCTCAGTAGTTGTGGCACATGGGCTTAGTTGCTCTGCGGCATGTGGGATCTTATTGGGCCAGGGCTCGAACCCGTGTCCCCTGCATTGGCAGGTGGATGCTAACCACTGCGTCACCAGGGAAGGCCCCTGTGTGCAGGATCTTTTAGTTGTGGCATGCAGGATCTTTAGTTGTGGCATGCAGGATCTTTAGTTGCAGCATGCAAACTCTTAGTTGTGGCATGTGGGATGTAGTTCCTGACCAGGGATCGAACCCGGGCCCCTTGCACTGGGAGCGTGGAGTCTTAGCCACTGGATCACCAGGGAAGTCCCTCTTTTTTTTTTTTAAGATAATTTTAACAAATATAATTGCACTCCTGCTATGTTAGAAACATTTTTAAAATAGATTAATACACTAAGCTACTAAATATTCTGTAAATATTTTTTGTTTAATATAGCCCAGTGCTGCCATTTTTGTATTTTAATAATTTGTCTATTGAACTTTTGTAGCTAAAAGAACAAGCTTCTGATTCTATCTTGGTACTAGAGGCAGCCCTTAAATTAAACAAGGATCTTTATGTCCACACGATGAGAACGCTAGATTTATTGGCCATGGAGCCAGGCTTGGTAAATGGAGAGACTGAGAGTTCCACTGTTGGACTGAAAATCAAAACCGAGGAGATGCAGTGCCAGGTATTTATTTTCAGTATTTAATCAATGCATGGCAAATTTTTGGAAAATCTTATTTTTAATTAGAATTTATTTCTGCCCTTGTACCTTTGATTTTGACTTCAGATGCTATTAAGACTTTGCATTGTATTTAATTTGTGAATTTTATAAGACCTCACTTGAAATTTTTCTAAAAGAAATGCAAGGAAAATTTCATTTGATCTTTTGTCTCTGAACTGGTTTCCCAGTTGTATTTAGGAGACTGACAATGCATGAGTATGTAACTAATTTACAGTTCATTCATATTATTAGAAATCTAATCATACCAAAAAAAACAAAACTAATATTGTACTAGACTTTGAAAAATGTGGGCTACTAGAGAAATACCTAGTTTTTCAAAGATCTTAAGGATGCCTGCTTTCTGTAACTCTGTGCTGTAGTTCCTTTGTTGCTTTCAGTTGTTGTTTGTTGTTAGATATTTTTTGTATTGATGTCTTCTTTTTCCCTGCTGGATTGTAAACTCTTTGAGGTCTGTTTTTTAAATATATTTGCCTCTTTCTCACTTTCCAGCACAGAATCTTGAGTATAATAAAAATTTTAAAATATTTGATGATTGCCTAGAGAGGGCCACTAGCCTTTTCCATTCTGTGTTCTTTTTCCATTCTGTGTTCATTGTGTGAGTTGGCATGACTTCTTTAATCACTATTTCCCAATCCTGAAATGGCAGAAGTAGCTCTGATTTTAAAGGGTTTGGAGGTACCTTTTCAGATTAGCTGGTTCTGGAGTTGAAAATAATCCCTTTTCAAGACTTGTTAAGATGGAGTCTTGTACAGTAGGAGGAGGAGTCAAGAGGCATTGACAGTTGGCAGCCACTTTAAGTGGTCAATGAAACTTCCATGGAGGAGGTTTCTGGTACTGTAATATCTTATACTCACTGAATCTGTTTAAAAGTCTTGGTAACATGTCTGATTTTCACGATGTAGTGGATGATATGACCTGAAAAAACAGAACTCTTACGTAAATGTGCTAGGTAAACCCTATCAAATATTCTTTTAATTACATAGCTGAGCTATAATTTCTGTTTTTTGAATAGCAAATTAGTACTGATACTCATTTCCTGGCATGTTAATGTTTAAAGTGCATTTGCAGTCTTTATGTTACTAAAATTTACCTGACTCAAAAGAAAAATCTTAAATTTTTCCTTAGTTAAACCATAAGCATTACTGTCCTTCAGGGAAGCTTCATTATCAGATTTGTTTTTTTGTTTTGTTTTCATCTGTTGACCACATCTTAACTGTAGAATTTAAACTCGTTTTAATGGCTAGTCAGTATAATTATACTTGAAAGTATCTTTTTGGTATCTTGTACTCTGCCTGGAAGGGGAAATTATATGTAAGTATAATATGTATGCATATGTATGTGTGTTTATGTGTGTTTAAATCTTTCTCTATTATGTATACACACACATACTATTTTTAAAAATTGCTTTAGCACTCTTTTACCCTAGATGGAAGGAAGCGCTCTAGAATGAAAATCAGCCCAACATTAAATGTGGGTTAAATAGTGCAAAGCAGTATTCTAGAGGCTGAGAAGAATTAATCTTGATTTGTTGAACAGGGCAGAATAGTATCTGTAATGCATATCAGTAAAGAGTAGTTCAGTCATGAGTACCAGAGACTATTACAGCTTAGGAGTTCAGAGGGGGAATGAGTATCTGTTGACTAAGGTTGGTTTGGTGTAAATGGAAATACAGGGTGTGGAATGAAGTTCATTTGTAGATCTGCTGTGAATGGGGAATTGAGAAAACTGGTGTGATTGAAATAGAGGAGAATAGAGAGGTTTGGAGAGAGAAATTAGTCCAGATTCTGAGACCCTTGAAGATCAGGCCTTGGGGTTTGAACTTTCTCTTACCTGGGGGAATAATTTGAAGGCTTTTTAAGAAAGTCATATTGAGAAGACAGATCAGTCAGCCTTGTGTAGAGTAAATTTGAGATGGAGTATTAGGAACCTAGAGATCTGGCTTCAAGTCTGGGCTCTGCCGGTATTTGGTTATATGCTCTTAAGCAGAGATGTTACTTTCTGGGCCTTAGTGTTATTGTTCATAAAATGGCCAAGTTGAACTCAGTCTCTGAGTTCTGCATTCAGTAAATCTAGGTATCAATTTATGAACGTTCTTGGAAAAATATACAGGTTCTATTAGAAAAAGACAACTGGAAATGCACTATCGTTTTATAGTCATTAATTCAAACTTCTCAATATTTTATTCTGGCCAGTTCTGTGATAGTAGACATTTGCCCCTTCTGTCCCTTTTGGAGAGACACCCCGGTGGCTGTCCCCCTATTCTATGTTAGAAGAACCCCCTACCTTCTGAGACTTGATGGGAGGCAGAGCCTGTTTCCTATAATAAAACTGAAAACTCCAGACACTAGCGTTCTCTAGCCCTTATCCTGCTCCAGGGCAAGTGTGTCACATAGGTGTAACAGACAGATACATTTAGTTTAGACTGAATTAGGAGCTAGCTAGTCAGTCAGTGAAGTGGAGAGGGTAGATAATCTGTTGTGATGGTTAGCCAACAGCAACAGTGACAGTAAAATCTGGTTTCCAGGGGCAGCCCTGGCAGAAGTGGAGCTGCTGCTTTCAGTGTCTAGTGCTGGTGGCTGCAGGTGACATGATCTGTGGAGTCTAGTGTTGAGGTGGCTGCAGTGGTGTTTCACTGCATGTTTTGGCTCTTGTTCTGGCTGCTTGCTTCCCTTCCCCTGTTGGTTTTCCAAGCCTGATTTTTTGGCTTTCCCAATAACTCTGTAGGCCACCTGACATCCTGAGGGTAAATCTGTTTTCTGCTTAATTCAGTCAGAGTTGACTTCTGTTGCTCGTGACTAAGAACATTGATTGTTTCACTGCTCATTGAAATGGTTTTTTCTTTTTTGCTGTATGTGTACCTGTGTTTTGCCTTTGAGTTTTGTCAGCTTTTAAGTTCATGAAAAATTACTGAGCAAATTGGTATTCATTACTATTTTAGGTGTGTTATGATTTGGGTGCAGCATACTTCCAGCAAGGCTCTACAAATCCAGCTGTCTATGAAAATGCCAGAGAAAAATTTTTTAGAACCAAAGAATTAATTGCAGAGGTAAATACAGTCATAACAGGCATATGATTTTCAGGCCTTTAAAACATCTTTATGTTTTTTGGCTTTAATTTTTCTGATGATAAAAAAACCCAGTAAGTGTTCATTGTAGTAAATTTGGTAGTTCAAAAAAGTAGTGAAAACATCAAAAAAAATCTGTAATACCCCTTTTGTGGTTTTAGCTTATTTTTTTTCCAGTTTTTAATCTTTATGTTTTTATACAGTTAAGCTCATGCTGTAATATACTATTTTGTATCTTGCTTAAATATTTGAACAGATATTTTAAATGTATTCTATTCTGTTAATATAGTTGTGCTGTGATTTCATTTTCCTAATGTTTGGGCATTTGGATTGTTTACTCTTTTTATTTATTAAAAAGTTGCAAAATTTATATCTCCAAGCATAAATTTTTGTTTGGACTTTAGATACTTTCAAGTTAAATTCCTGCAAGTAGAATTACCATGGCAATGGTCATTATTTTTTTTAAAGGATGTAATATGTAAAGCCAAATTGCTTGCTAGGTACATTTCTCCGAAGGCACTCCAGTCAGCAGTGAATTTTTTTAAATTGCTAATTTGATGTGATCTAGAATATCTTTAAAAAATTTGCATTTCCTTGGTTCCTAGTAGGGTAAACATTTTCATGTGTTTGTTGTTTGCATTTTTCTTTTTGTGATTCAGAAAACTTAATGTTAAAGTATATAACTAGGTTTTTGTATGCCTGGTGCCCAGAAAAATTCCCACTTCAATCTTTCCTTTCTTCACCAGAGACCTTGATTAAATGTACTAAAGATTTACTTTATTGGGAATCCCCATTTTACTTTGCCTGGGGCACTCATCAGATTTCTAATTTTATGGCATTTCAGGTATAGTAGTTTAAAACTTTAATTTTTTAAAAAAGTGTGTCTTTTAAAAATTTTTTTCTGTTTCGGTGGAAGCATTTCTGTTTATTCCAGTTGAGTGAAGATTGAGTTTTCTTTGCTGCCCCCTTTAAAGCTCTGCAAGTATATGTATTTAAAAATATTTTAAGCTTGTTTTTAACAGTGTTCACTCTTTGTTAGTATCTTAATTTTCATACTTACATAGAGTAATAATACTGTCTACCTTTATGTTGGCCTGAAAACTCTAAACCAGGAGTCAGCTTTTTTGTAAAGGGCTAAATAATAGATATTTTAGGCTTTGTGGGCCATATACAGTTTCTGTGGTATACTCTAATTTGTTGTTATGGTTTTTTTCCCCCCCTTTACAACCCTAAGAATTGTTCTTAGGTCAAGAAATCTATAAAAACAAGCCATGGGCTGGATTTGGCCTGTGAGCAATATTTTGCTGACCCCTGCTCTAAACCTTTTAATTTTTTATGGTTCCTCCAGCCCTGAATTTTCCATTAGCATTTTCTTGTACTGTTAAAATGTACTAAATGGGTGCTAGACTGTTGTTTCTATTACACTGATGAATAATGATATATACCTCTTACTTTACAGATAGGTTCATTATCTCTTCATTGTACCATAGATGAGAAGCGGTTAGCTGGCTATTGTCAAGCGTGTGGTGTTCTTGTACCTTCTTCTGATAGTGCATCTCAGCAATTGACTCCATATAGTCAAGTCCATATTTGTTTGAGATCTGGCAACTATCAGGTAAGATGTGTGATGGGATACAATAGTGTAATCGAAAAGCACTGGAATCCAGACAGCTGAGTTCATATCCTGACACACCATTTACAGTTGTGCCATTTAGGGCAAGCCAGACTGTCAGATTGGCCTATAAAATAGTTGTAATAATTAAGCTTCTTATGAGAATCAAATGAGAAGTTATAGTTTATAAACTGTAAGGCAAAGCACTGGACAGATGTTGACTCATTGATATTCTCCTTTCTTGAAGGTATAGAATTTGCCCATTTTAAGTGCATTCTGTAAGAAACTCTGTAGGTAGAACTTTTAAAATTACAGGTAGAGAACTTTTAGTTTTATGGAGCCTAAAGTCTTGTGTCTGATCTGAAAGTATGGCCTTGTAACCCTGCCTTATTAGCCACTGCAAACATTAAGACTGAAGGAGAAAGTGAGCAGAGTGGTTTTGGTAGGTTTGCGTAGTCTATTACATAGCCCATTTTGCCAGGGAGTCTGGTCGTCATCTCAGTTTTAATCATGAAAAGGGCTTAAATTAGTCTGTTGAGATTTTTATTGCACCCTCTGTGTAGATATCTTTAGTTTTGTAATGAAAATCACTGGGAATTAGAATTTGAACTTCTAAAATCTTTTTTGGAAAGCCTTCATTCTAGGAAGTGAACAGTGCCTTCATGTTATTTAATTCAAAACAGAAATTATGAAATGACAAAGCTATAGCATACCTTTAGTTTTGTGTCTCCAAACGGACTTTTAGCCTAGGTTTTTAGTTCAGTCTTCTCAACTAGAGTTTATTTTTTTTTCAGAGAAAATAGAAGAGAGGGGATGCGTACTTCCTCTCCCTCCCTCTGGCCTCTTTTTTGCAAATTCTGCTTTGCCCTAGGGAAGAAAATTAAACTTTCTTGAAGATAGATTTCAGATACAGATGAAGTTATTAAACACTAGAGATCTTTCAGTTACGTATTTCTAGTACAGGCTTATGGAGGGTGGGGATCAATTATGATAAGATAATAGAATCTTTAAAACGGTCCCTGGAATGGTAAGACCTGTGCAAACAAGACCTTGGAAATATTAGTCATAAATAGGCACATACTACTGTGAATACAATAAAGTGCCAAAATGTGTCACTCAGAAAGTAGTGTAATGGGTAGTTAGGAAAGGGGAAAGAGCAATTTTGTTGCACCTCTGAAATTTACCACTTCAGTTATGTATGCAGGAGTATCTTAGAAATCATGTTTACCTTTTTTTGTTTTTTTGGAATAAGATTCTGTTTGTATTAACTGTATATCTTTGTTTTGTGCTGATGAAGTAGTTATTGAACAGTTCTAACAAATATGTCTTCTCACATTTAGGAAGTGGCTTACTTTCCCCTGTGTAGCCTGTGTTTTGCTATGGAGGTGAAACAGTGGTTGCTTTATAGTTTTGAAACCATTTTTGTCAGTGCTTTTGTGGTAGAGCTGATTAGCTTTAGCTGTTTCAAGAAATCCCCACACTATCGAGATAAAGAGTTGATAAAGAACAGAAAAAGACTCTAATAGTGGGTGTTTCTGTAATTCACTAAATAATATATTTTAAACCATTTAAATTGATTAGAATAGTTTCTTAACATGTTATATTTAGATGAATTATTTTTAATTAATTATTTTAGTGTTTTAAAAAGTTTGTTGTATGAACCCCTCCCCTTTTTTTTGGCTGCACTGCGTGGCCTGTGGGATTTTAGTCCCCCTGCAGTGGAAGCCCAGAGTCTTAACCGCTGGACCGCCAGGGAAGTCCCTGAACCCATATTTAAAGTAGATGAGAAGAATTTAAAAACTTTCTCTCTAATAACATAGCTGAATTACTTCTTATTCATTGATTCTTCTCTCACCTCTCACTTTTGATCTTCAATTTTGCAAAAGGGTGAGGGGGTGCTATTTGTATCTGTAATGTAATTTTAAAATTTTAGAAAGAGAAGATTTTCCTAGCAAGATTTTTTTTTTTTTCCTAGCAAGATGTTTTAATGATTTTCTTCACTGTGTAATTTCTATTATAGAAAGACTTTTTAAATTTTATTAAAAAAATTTTTTTTGGAAAGATTCTTTCATGATTTTTGAGATGGATGCAATTTTGTGTCTGTGTTCTAGGAGGTAACAAAGATTTTCGCTGAAGACAATTTAACCTTCAGTTTACCTGTGCAGTTCCGGCAGTCAGTCCTAAGAGAGCTCTTTCAGAAAGCTCAGCAGGGGTAAGGAAGTGAATTACTTTTTGATTTTTGAATAAAATGGTAAGTGTGCATTTCAGATTTATCAAAAACATCCTTCCAAACTACCTGTATGTCTGACACAATACTTTCACTTTTTTTTAGTATATGGGAAGTTAACATGGCCAGAGGAGCCACTTTAATGTTCATCTAATCCATTTTAAAAGTGCTTGGGGAAAAAAATTTACAAAGCAGAATTTGATTCTGTTACCTAATCTGTATGGCTAAATTGTCCCTTGATAAATTCAAGACCTTCCCCTGACTTAGGTATTTACTAACGTGCCGGAATATCGTAAGATCTTACCTCTCAAGAATAAATGGCTTATTCTTGTGAGTTTAGTTTTGCAATATATTCCTTTTTATTAAAAAAATTAGTGTATCTGCTTCTGTATTCTACAGAAATGAAGCTCTAGATGAAATCTGTTTTAAAGTCTGTGCCTGTAACACAGTCCGTGATATATTGGAAGGTAGAGCGATTGGTGTTCAATTTAACCAGCTATTTCTTAGACCTAATAAAGAGAAAATAGACTTTCTTCTTGAGGTAAGACGTTTTTTCCCCTTTTGACTTATAATTTTGCTTTAAGTTTACCAGTGATCTCTTAGCTACCAAATCCAGTGCCCTCTTTTCTGTCTTCGTCTGACTTGCCTCTCTGGCTGGTAGTTGTTACTACTGATAGACCACGATCTCCAGCCCTGTTCTCCTCTGTCACTGGGTTTTCCATAGTCCTCCATTGACTTCTCTTTTGCTCTCCCTTTAATGTTTTTATTTACAAAAGTTTTGTCCTTGGCTCACTCAATTTCTCATATCACTTTTTATTCTCATCCAAAACCTCAATCACCTGCTCACTAAAAACCCTTGGATCATACTTCTTGCCTCTCATGTGAGCTCCAGAATCTGTGTTTCTACTGGATCTTTCTCTTTCTTTAATAGTCTTAATGTAATAAACCTTGAGAGGAGTACATAGAGTACAATTAATACCATTTAGTTCTAAACATACAACACTGCCAATGCTCTAGAAGTCCTTCTTATGCTCCTTACCAAACCCTCTCTGCCTCTCCTTGAGGAAACCACTGTCCTGTGTTTTGTGATAATCATTTCCTTGCTTTTCATTACAGTTTTATCACCTTTGTATGTACCCTTAAAGAATATTCTTTAGTTTGCCTGTTTCGAACTTTACATAAATGAAATCATACAAAATAAATTCTTTGTCTCTCAGTGAACATACTTGAGATGTTTTTTCAAGTTGTATGCAGGTACAGTTTTTTTTTTCCCATTGCTGTAAGGTGTTACAACATTATATGACCATGTCACAATTTATTTATTCTTAAGGTGATGGACATTTGTGTTATTTACAGTTTGTGGCTGTTGTGCTTCTTGGAAAATACTGTACACGTATCCTGGTGCACCCACATACGATTTATCTGTTACATTCCTGGAGAAGGTTTATCTGCAGTATTACTGTATAATTTCCAAATGTTTTTGCCACTAGCATGCATGAGGGTTCTCGTTGGTCAGGATCTTTGTCAGCACTTGGTATTGTCAGATTTCCTGTCAGGGTCATGGTATAATGTATCTCATTGAGCTTTTAATGTCCATTTCCTTTATTACTGAGGAATTTAGCAGCTTTTCATTTATTTTTTGCACATGTAGATTTTGTCTCTTTTTTTTTTTTTTTTTTTTTTTTTTTTTTTTTTTTGGCTCACAGGCCCAGCTGCTCCGCGGCATGTGGGATCTTCCTGTACCGGGGCACGAACCCATGTCCCCTGCATCGGCAGGCGGACTCTCCACCACTGTGCCACTAGGGAAGCCCTAGATTTTGTCTTTTGAGGTACCCATTCCAAGTGGTATGCCTCATTTTTATGTTGAATTCTTTTTTTTTTCTTTTGCAGGAATTTTTTATATATTCTTTTACTAGTTTTAAATACTGCAGGTATCTTTTCTGTGTTTCACTTCTCTTTTAACTTTTTATTATTTTAAAAGTTCTTAATTTTAATATAAAATTTATCAATCTTTTCCATAAAGGAAAAGATTAGTGGATTTCTGTGTCTTGTTCAAGAAAGCTTTTCATATCCTGTAGTCGTGAAAATTGTCCTATATTTTACCTTCTAAAAGCTCTAGAGCTTAGCCTTCTTTTCACATTTAGGCCTTTAATCCACCTATGATTGATTTTTGTGTATTAACATGAAGTAGGGGGTCTGATGTCATTATTTTTCCTCACTTGTTCCAGTACCATTTATTGAAAGTTCCATCTTTTTTCTACCAATCTCCAGTGATACCTCTCTTGAATGCCAAGTATCCATACGTGTGTGGGCCTGTCTCTGGGCTGTGTTCTGTACCACTTTTCTGTTTGTTTACCCATACATTAGTATCCCTGTCTTGATATCATCTGAAGTACATACCTTGTTTTTCAAAGTTGTGTTGGTTATGCTTGTCTTTTTGCGTTTTCTTGTAGACAGTTGACTCATTGTCAAGTTTCACAGATAAGCCTGTTGGATTTTTGTTTGGAACTACATTACCTTTAAAAGTCAGTTTGTGAAAAATTAGTATCTTTACAATATTGAGTGTTCTAATCTGTGAACTGGTATAGGTTTTGATTTATTTAGGCGTTCTTTAATGCCCTTTAAAGCTTTATAATTTTTCCATAGAAGTTTTTTTATTTTACTTTTTTTATGAACTTGAAAATAGTTTATGCATTGGTATAGGGGTATGATTGAACTCTGTATATGATTTTGTTTCCAGCTACTTTGCTAAACTCTTAAAAATTCTGTTTATCTGTAGGTTCGTTTGTTTTTCTAAATAGTCTTTATCTGTAAATAATGCATTTTGTTTTTTTCATTTTCTAGCCTTTTCATTTTTATTTCTGTGTACTTGTTCTTACTGTGCTGACAATGATCTCCAGTACAATGTTTGGTAGAAAGGGCTCTGATGGGCTTCCTGGTCTCATTCTTAGTCTCAAAAGCTTGTACTCTTTTACTGTTTAGAATGATGTTTATTATAGGTTTTTCTTATCGTTACTCCGTATCTGATTAAGGAAGTTTCTGTTTATCCTTAATTCACTGAAGGCTCTTATTTAAAAAAAATCATGAATTATTTTTAGATTTTACTAAATGCTTTTTCTATGTCTATTATGATAAGCACGTAATTTTTCTCTTCTAATTGGTTAATGTAGTGAAGTATATTAATTTTTAAGTGTTGAAGTACCTTGTCTGGATAAACCCAACTAGGTTGTGACTTTTTTTAAACTGAGATATAATTGACATGTAACATTGTATTAGTTTTAGGTCATGTTATGATTGTTTTTAATATATATTGCTGGATTTGGCTTGCTAATACTTTAAGATTTTTTTACATTCGTGTGTGAGATTGATGTATCAGTTTTTTTTCTTTCTTGTCCTGTCTTTGATTTTGTTACTAAGGTCATGTGTGCCTCATAAATAAATTGAGGTGTGGATCATTTCTTTTTGCCTGGAAAAGAAAATGGACTCATTGCTTTTTTTCAGTGTTTGGTAAAATTTACCAATGATATATTTGGGCCTGGAGATTTTTTTGGGGGGAAGATCTTTGGCATTGATTCAATTTCAGTGATTTCATCTGCTGTTCTTTTTTCTTGATTAGTTTTGAGAAGTTCTTTTCTAAGAACTTGTCCACTTTATCTAAATTTTTAAGTTGATTAATATTAATGTTTTTAGTTATCTTCTCAGTGTTTATAGCATCTGTAGAGATGTCACCTATTTCATATTTTTCATTTTTAAAAAGTTGAGGTGAATTCACATAACATCTCTGTTACGTTGCTTATCAGGAGTTACCACATATTCCCGAACACATGACGACACATATACAGTGCATCTCTATATTTGAATAAACAATCTCATTGAAAGTACACTAAAATATTATTTATCATAAGATCTTACATATGGTAGCAAACTTAATTTATGCATACAGTGGGGCAAAATTATTAGAATGTAAATATATTGTACATACTCCAGGATGCTCAGATGTGTTATGTACTGATAGTGTAACCTGTTCATCTGAGCAAAGTACTTTCAAGATACTGTTTCTGAGCATGGTAATTAAAAATACTATTATTCTTTTTTTCTTTTAATAGCTTCATTGGGATGTAATTCGCATACCATACAGTTCACCCATTTAAAATGTACAGTTCAGTGATTTTTAGTATGTTCATAGAGTTGTGCAGCCATCACCTCAGCCAGTTTGACAACATTTCATTCCTCTCTGCCCGTCTGCAACAAAACTTCTTATCCATTAGCAGTCGTTTCCCATTTTCCCTCAATCTCTTCAACCCTAGGCAACTGTTAATCTACTTTTTGTCTCTGTAGATTTGCCTGTTCTGGACATGTCATATAAATAACTGACTTCTTTCACTTAATGTTGAAAACCTGAAAAATTTGATCCATGTTGGAGTGTGTATCAGTACTTCATTCTTCTTTATAGCTGAATAGTATCCCATTGACTGGATATGCTCTTCAGTGTCTATTTTGAGTGTTCATTCATCAGTTGATGGGCTTTAGGGTTGTTTACACTTTTTAGCTCTTATGAATAATGCTGCTATAAACATTATATAATTTAATTTTTGTGTCAACATATTAGAGAATATTTGACAATTTCTTAAGGTTAGGGAGCTTTTACACTAATATATTCTTTTTGACTTCTTGTAAATAATATGTGGGGAGGAAACCTAATCTAATAAACTCAGAATAATATTATAAGGATATTATTTTTAGATAACTAATATTTTCATAGTTGGTTTCTATAACTCTTTATTTTCATTGTTTAGTTTTTAAACCTTGGTTATCTTCTTAACCATTGGTTCTATATACTTTAACTATTATCGATCATTCTTTTCAACTATCTAAGATGACCCTTTTCTCACTTTTCTGACAGGAACTACTGATTCTTAAAGTTATCACTCCATTTAATTTGGCAAATGTACTTTGTAAATTTCGGCAGGACTTCTTCGTATGCTATACAGATTATTCTTTACTGCATATTCTTTGGTCTCATCTCTTAAATTTCTTAACCAGATCTGTGACTGATAACGTTTGAAAGGAAAATTCAGTTGTTTTTAAATCTAAACTTTTCATACTGTAGTATAATTATTTAAAAGTACCCGTATTCAAATAAAAATTACTCAAATTCCTAGGTATGTTCAAGATCAATAAATTTAGAAAAAGCTTCAGATTCTTTGAAAGGAAACATGGCTGCTTTTCTAAAGTAAGTGCCTTTCTTTTCTTTTTCTTAATTTTGAATTTAGTCCTGTGAGAAAAATATCTTTTTTTCCTTATCGTTTTGGATTTGCCCTATCTTATAACCAGGCAATAATTGGTATTTAAGAACAGTTATGGTTTGGATTCGTGTAGCCACATAAAACTTAGGATTCTGTCAGTTACTCCTTTTGTATATTGTAGCATTGAAATCACAAACTTTAAATAAGGACCAAAAAAATTTTAAAAGCTGTTTCAAATGATTGTTGTGCAGTTATTGAATGGTGGTTTTTTAAACAGTTTATTAGTAAAAATTGGTTAATATGATTGTTTTCCCCAGACTAAAATTGTACACTTTTTTGTTTTATAATATTTCTTACTGATCTAGGAATGTGTGTCTGGGGTTGGAAGACCTGCAGTATGTTTTCATGATTTCTTCACATGAGCTTTTCATTACATTGTTGAAAGATGAAGAACGAAAGCTACTTGTTGATCAGATGAGGAAGAGATCCCCTAGAGTAAATCTGTGCATTAAACCAGTAACTTCATTTTATGATATCCCAGGTTAGCTCTGCTAGCTAAAATGTTGGCACATTCTGCCCCTCAGTCTATTTGAGGGTATCCTCTTAATTTGTTTCAGATTACACGAATGCTGATAATTAATAGACATTTACCTGTCTTTTGTAGTCATATTTCTGTCTAAGCAGTTAAGTCTTGGGACTCTGCTGAGTCTCTGATTCACGGAGATATAGGCCTAGATACATAAAAGATTTTAGCTGTGGGAGTAGACTCACATAACTCTGCTGCTGTGTTCTTGAAGGTAAAAAACAGGAGGGGAGGGGAGTGGTTGAGAACAATAAAACGTACAGGCTTGCATGCATTTCAGCCTATATATCATCGTGATACTGTCTTCTGACTAAACATTCAGCTTTGGCACCATTGCCATTTTTGCCTTATTTATTTGATGATTTTCTTCCATTTTTTTCTCTTATTTTATAAATATAAGTAGAAAATTTAGTGCTGTTCATTAATAACAAATACAAGCTTCAACACTTAATGTAGGGGAGACAGAATTCAGCTGGCTGAACGAACTTTTAGCTGCTTTGACCCTCATTAGATTTAAACTGTATTAACAGTCCAGGTGTAAAGGGAAAGAATAATATTAACACAGATAAAATGCTGGAAATGCATTATTGAAGACTGTATCTGAAAGCCGAGTTGTAGTGAGGGATTTTAATGATCAATTTCTTGGTTTTCTGGGGAAGGCAGTGCCTCCACCTCCTCATTCTCCCCTTCAGAAAACACATTCTTAATGTTTACTGCTCAAAACATTTTATATGTGCTTTTAAATAACACAGTATGTTCCAAAGTAGGAGACTGTCTGTATAAGTTAAATTTTTCCATATATCCCACATAATTCTTTCCATGTACCAGCTACTGATTTTTATGTTTTTATTTTCATTATCTTTATTAAATGCATTCATTTATTAAATGAAGACATAATAAAAATTGTGTCAGGCTTTCTATATGAGAGTGAAGTTAAAACATAATTTGCATTAAGTTGAATAAATAAGTTTTCAAGATGAGAGATGCTTTTAACTTATAATACTTATAAGCATGTACAATTTCTCTCAGTAAATTACCATTCTCATATTTATAGGATTATGTATACCTTTGAATCAAATCATCATTTAAATGGAAACCTCTCCTTCCTTTCTTAGCCTCAGCAAGTGTCAACATTGGCCAATTGGAGCATCAGCTGATATTGTCAGTAGATCCCTGGAGGATTCGACAGATTTTAATTGAATTACATGGTATGACTTCAGAGCGCCAGTTCTGGACAGTGTCTAATAAGGTAAGAAAACCTTCTCGTTAAGTGCAGATAAGAAGGGACTTCCCTGGTGGTGCAGTGGTTAAGAATCCACCCGCCAGTTCAGGGGACACAGGTTTGATCCCTGGTCCAGGAAGATCCCACATGCCGCAGAGCAGCTAAGCCCGTGCGCCACAACTACTGAGCCTGTGCTCTAGAGCCCGCAAGCCACAACTACTGAGCCTGCGTGCCACAACTACTGAAGCCTGTGTGCCTAGAGCCCGTGCTCTGCAACAAGAGAAGCCACCGCAATGAGAAGCCCACGCACTACAACGAAGAGTAGCCCTCGCTCACCACAACGAAGAGTAGCCCTCGCTCACCACAACTAGAGAAAGCCTGTGTGCAGCAAGAAGACCCAGTGTAGCCAGGAAAAAAAAAAAAGAACAGATAAGAAAATTACCCTTGTTTTCTGATGTAATTTCATAGAAGAGCTGTTCCCTGACCGTTTTGGGAATAAGAACCCCTTTTATTTGTCAACAATTCATCAACAATGTGAATTACCTGCACATGAGAGTAATAGCACTTTGAACATCCATTGACAGAGAAAATATGAAATATCTAAAAAAGGTTATTAAATCGATACATTAAATCAGTAACAACAAAAAATGAGTTTATATTTCATTTGTTGTCATAACACCTACATGCATTTTCAGTATAGCTGTTAATATGTGTGTAAGGTATAATGTTTATGCAGTCTGGAGCTAATACTTGCTGTGTGCTTACAGAGTATTTTTGGTTTAGTTTTTCCCTATCTTCTTGAAGTCTAAAGCCTACAGTTTAGAACCACTTCATTAAAACTTCTTTTAGAACATTTTTGGCTTTAGATATTCTTTTTAAAATGCCAAGCTAATGTTTCTGAAGTTGTCTATTTAAGTTTTCCTGTGTGGAAAGTGCAAATGAAAATAGCTTTTTAAACATTTCAGTGGAATGTAGCTTGAGATACAAGGGAAGCAGTCCACAGATACAGGAGAAATTAAAGTACTGTGGTAGTGCTTCTAATTTAACTGCATACTCCTCCTCTGCTGAATATGTAATAAAAAGCAGCAAGAAATTGCTGTATATTTTGTGGGGTTTGAACATAAAAGTGCAGTGAAATGAAAAATTGGTCTGAACCTTAGTTGGGCTTCTTAGCATTGACATTGCTATTTGTATTCATTTATATAGAGAGGAAGTATATAGCATAATAGTTAAGAGTGGGAGTTCTGGTACTAACTGCCTGAGTTTGAATGCCAGCTCTCTACTTAACTAGCTGTATAGTCTTCGGCAAGTTATTTGACTTCTGTGTGTCTCTGTGAAATGGAGATAATAGTACCTACGTAATACTGTTGTGAGGATCATATGAGTTAATACGTATTAAACTCCTAGAATTTTTTTTTCCTTCTTTATTTCTATAGGCTATCCTTCAGAAAGTTCCAGTCCATTTAATTATTTATTACTAGCTCATTATAGTGATTATGTTCATTTTGATTAGCATTTCAATACAGCTGTCATTTTCCTTTCTCTTTCAAAAATGACTTTTGAATGATTTTTTAAATGGAGTTGACTATTACTGAAAGATTCTTATCTAGATTTGGCTTCATGTGTGTGTATTTGTGGATTTTTATTTCTTCTAGTGGGAAATACCTTCTGTCTATAGTGGTGTTATCCTGGGAATCAAAGACAATTTAACAAGAGATTTGGTTTACATTCTAATGGCCAAAGGTTTACACTGCAGTACTGTTAAGGTGAGTAAAAGCATACATTGACGTCTGGTTAAGAATATGCTTTGTAAATTTAGCATGAAGCCAGGAATCAGAATCAGTTGTGTTTTCCTGATCTTAAAATCATAGTCGTAGGCCTAGGAGGATATTTGAAAAGGCGTTTTGGTTTATTCTTTTTCCTTTTACCCTCATAGCTATACGAAAATGGTCTTGGACATATGGTTACTACTCTATGTCTTTTAAAAAATTAGAGAACATGAATAGTTCTTATTTGTATTTAGGGTTCAGTTAGTAAAGATTGTATTCCAAGCTAAAGAAAACAAAACCAAAAATCCTTAAAATTACTTTTGTAGATTTTACATAAGGATCTATTTGTGAAGTAGTCTGGGATGGAAATACAGATTTGGGAATCATCAAAGATCACCCTGGGAGAATTCTCAGAACCTAGGGGATCCAGCACAGGGTCCAAAAAGAGTGGCGTGAGAAGGAGTCTGGTATGAAGACCAGACTTGTGGGGTCATAATAGCTAAGGGGATAGAGGTTGTCAAGAAAAGCGAATGGACAGCACTGGGTTGCAGCCCCTGAGTCCAGTAAGGTAACTGAAAGGTATTGAGTAGATTATGCCATTAGAAGATCTTTGTTTAGTAAGAGCTATTTCTTTTTCATGATGTGGGGGATAGAAGCCACATTGTACGAGTGAAAGAATCATGTGGAGAGAGTAAGCGAAGGCTACTCTTTGGAAAAATTAGAAAGAGATGCGTAGGAAAGGGCTTGGATTGTAGCTGATTTGATTTATTTATTAGTCAATTATATAGGCTAATAGGGTTGTGTGCAAAATTTTAGAATGTGGAACCTTGTTGAAGGGGGTAGGGTCTAATTCTGACTGTCTTAGGGGGAGAAGGGTGTTTAATCATGGAATTTTATACCTGTATGATGTATGTATATAATATTTATATAAAACTTCTAGTTTTGTTATTTTATTTATTTATTCTTTGGCCACGCTGTGTGGCATGTAGGATCTTAGTTCCCAGACCAGGGATTGCATCTGTGCCCCCTGCAGTGGAAGCGTGGGGTCTTAACCCCTGGACTGCCAAGGAAGTCCCCTAGTTTTGTTATTTTATAATTTATGTAAAACTTGTTTAGTAATATAGCATGTATATTATATTGATTGTTTATTGGATGTTTTTTAAAAATTACAGGTAATTCCCTGGCGGTTCAGTGGTCAGGACTCTGTGCTTCCACTGCAGGGGGCACGGGTTCAATCCCTGGTTGAGGAACTAAGATCCTGCATGCCGTGTGGTGCAGCCAAAAAAAAAAAAAATTTACGAAAGAATTAAGTATTTATTGGAATAAATCAACAATGCAGAGATGATAAAAAGATGATAGTCTAGCCTCACTCCCCAAGATAACCAGTGTTAACCATTTAAATTAATTCTTCTCCTCTTTGTACTTTTAAAGACGTATTTTTTGACTCCAGAGGAAAGGTGATCCAGGCTATTCTGCTGTTTCTTTTTATAGGACTTTTCCCATGCTAAACAGCTATTTGCTGCTTGTTTGGAGTTGGTGACAGAATTCTCACCAAAACTTCGTCAGGTCATGCTGAATGAGATGCTGCTTTTGGATATTCATACACATGAAGCTGGAACAGGGCAATCTGGAGAGAGACCGCCTTCTGATCTTATTAGTAGGGTGCGAGGATATCTGGAAATGAGGCTTCCTGGTAAGACTTTATCACAAAGCCAAATTTCAGAAATTTAGTACTCAAGTAACTGTGGGGAATATTCTAAAAGAATATTTACTGGACTTTTTACCATCTATGAAAAAATTATTTGTCTTTTAAAACAATTCAGATGTGGAGTTCACTTGAAAACATTGGGGAAAATGTAGGAAATTATTAATTTCCTAGGATTACCATAAATAAGTAACAGAAATTTACTTATTTATTTATTTAAAATTATTTATTTATTTTTGGCTGCTTTGGGTCTTTATTGCTGCAGAAATTAATTTTTTCATGGTTTTGGAGATGAGATGTCTGAAATCAAGGGGTCTGCAGGCCTACACTCCCTTTGAATGCTCTAGAGAAGGATCCTTCCTTGCTTCTCCCTAGCCTCTGGTGGCTCCCAGCAGCCTTTGGTGTTCCTGGGCTTGCAGCTGCATCACTCCAGTCTTTCCCTGTTTCACGTGGCCGTGTGTGTGTGTGTGTGTGTGTGTGTGTGTGTGTGTGTGTGTGTGTGTGTGTGTGTGTGTGTGTTCGCTCATGTGTCCATGTCCTCTCCCCAGTCATTGGATTTAGGGTCTATCTTAATTCAGTATGACCTCATTTTTAACTAACCACATCTGCAAAGACCCTGTTTCCAAGTAAGATCACTTCTGAGGTTTCAGGTGTACATGAATTTTGAGGGGACAGCATTCAACAGTCTACAAAAACTATATTGCAATTTTAAGATATTATGTTAAAAGAGTCAAAATGTCCTTGAAGCTGCATGGTGAAGGTTTATTTCCTCATAGCTGCCATAGACAGCCCTCAGCATGATTGCCTGTGGGTCAGGAAGTCACTCTGGTCACTTTAGGAACAGATTTTGACTGTCCAGTTCTAAATGTAAAGATATTATTATGAAAAGAAGCTTATCATAAGTTTTTTTATCATAAGAATTATCATCTGTTACATATAATCTTTTTAGTTAAAGCAGTTTCTTACTTTTACATGATTTAATAATATTTAGAGCATTTCAATCATACTGTACACATTTAATACTATAAATAGTAAAATTGAAGTATAAAGCAAGGTCCTAATAATGTGCCCAAACAAATGGCTGCTGGCCCTCTGGGGTCTTTTGAATTAATTTAATTTTTATAACATTGTGATTTCTTGAAAAAATTACAACTTTTTAGCACTCTGTAGATAGAATACCTTTGAGTTTTAATGCATCAGTGCCCTTCAGTATCACAATAAAAATTGATCTAATTAATATATACTAACGGTCAGCAGAGTGTTTTCTAAAGCTTTTTTTTTCCTTTTTCTTTTCGGGCCATGCTGCGCGGCTTGTGGGATCTTAGTTCCCCTACCAGGGATTGAACCCGGGCCCTCGGCAGCAAAAGCACAGAGTCCTAACCGTTGGACTGCCAGGGATTTCCCCAGAGTGTTTCCTTTTTAAAGGTTGAAGATTGGTTCTCAAAAATGAAAAGCAAAAAGAATTTTAAAAACCCTAACATTTATTGAGTGCTAACTACATGTCAGACATTCTTCTGAGAGCTTAGGTGCATAAATGATTGAGTCCTCGCAGCAGCTTCATGAAGTAGCTTCTTATTTAATTATCCCCATTTTGTAAATCAAGAAACTAAGTTTAAAGAATTTGGCCAAAGTCATGAAGTAAGAGATGGAACTGTGTTTTGAACTCATCAGGCCAACTTAAGCCTGTGCTTTTACTCTTCGAAATGGTTGGAAATGCCTTCAAATAATTATAGTCTCTTTGTACTTTTTGGCATTTGAGTAGTTTGGAGTTCACTTTTTCCTCCTTCCCTCCCTCCATTCTTCCTTCTCTCCCCTAACTTACTGAATGTTCATCTATTTGTCCCATAGTTTGTGTTATAAGCAGTGTTTGAAACGAGAAGGAAAGGATGTACTCTTAGGAAGAACAAGAAAGAAAACGTTTGAACCCCACTCTCTAGATGCTGATTCTTCTTTAAGAACCATTGTGGACTCACTAATGAGAGATGCCCAGTGAATAAAGGACGCCTTGGAGCCAAATGCTGTCTGGGCTTCCTTTGGCAAAGCGTATGGTGCACAATGCACAGTGACATGTTGTACACTGGGATATTAAATTTACTTCTATCTTCACTCCTTCTTTAAGAAGATGATGCAAATAATGTATTTTTACTTAATTTTGGTGTGTTCCTGTGCCTCTTCTTTGTCGTCTCCAGTCGCTTTTTGGGATAAAGTGAGATATAAATAGCCACAGGCAAAGAGTTTTTAGAAAGACTGAAAAATATAGGTACTCAAGAAGTTTAATAGCTCTGCCCATTTTAAGTTTTAACATTGTTATTTAGTATTCATTGGGTTTCTTTTCCTCTTTCTTGAAATACATTAAAACCTGAGTATTATATACTTTGAGCTACAAAAATTCAGAATGTATTTAATATTAAGGTATATTTAATAATTATTTATTTCAAAGGAAATAATGGTAAAACAATTCTGAGTGATTTTTTTCCCTCATTTCTTTTTATTTAAAATTGTTACAGGTATAGTACGTATTTTTTGAATGAGTGAATGATTTGTGTCTTACGAATATTTATCATGTTTTAATCAGGAAAAATTGTTAAAAAAATGAAAAACATTAACATGGATTTATTACAGCTTTAAACATGGTTTACCTATTTCTGTGCTCTAAATAGCTAGAAGTTTATACCATACCATTATATATTTGTTTTGTTTGTGTGGTTCTTCTCTGCTCATTTATTTATTTATTTTTGGCTGTGTCGCATCTTAGTTGCAGCCTGTAGGCTTCTCTCTAGTTGTGGCGTGTGAGCTCCAGAGCTCGTGGGCACTGTAGTTGCAGCACGCGGGCTCTCTAGTTGTGGCCTGCGTGCTCAGTAGTAGTTGCGGCATGTGGGCTTAGTTGCCCCCATGGCATGTGGGACCTTAGTTCCCTGACCAGGGATCGAACCTGCGTCCGCTGCATCGGAAGGCGGATTCTTAACCACTGGACCACCAGGGAAGTCCCTCTCTGCTCTTTTAAATTATAAATTTGTAGAGGCTGGGTACCAACTCCTAGACTTCCACAGTAGAGTATTAGGCATCTTAAGGTGTTCTTAGTAGAGAATTTTGTTGATTAATAGTGGGGACTGTGGCAACCTATTATTGGGAAACCTTAAACTTTCTAGAGAAAAGTATAAAATATTAGTGTTTTTCTATTTTTTCATCTGTAACTTGTTTTTAATTTGTTCAGCTGGAATCTGAGCAACTATTTGCTTTGTTATTGATTGACTGATTGATTGCCACACTGCGCTGCACGGCTTGCAGGATCTCAGTTCCCTTACCAAGGATCAAACCTGCACCCTCTGCAGTGATAGCACAGTATCGTAACCTCTGGACTGCCAGGGAAGTCCCATGCTTTGTTCTTTTAATGTTATGATGGTAGCTCCAACTACTTTCTTCTTTGCTTTTTAGATATTCCTCTTCGTCAAGTTATTGCCGAGGAGTGTGTTGCTTTTATGTTAAACTGGAGGGAAAATGAATACCTTACCCTGCAAGTTCCTGCATTTCTGCTTCAGAGTAATCCATATGTAAAGGTAATTCACGTTTAATCTAAATAAAAGGATTATTAGGGTGGGATTATTGGACCAGTTTCTTTAGATCTGTACTACTTAGGGAGCTTGTCCAGTTTCTAAGATTCAGTCTAAGTTTGGACAAATGCTTGTTGGTTTGTAGGTAAAAGTATAGTTTTTGATAATTCAGGCACTTGAGTTTGCCCTCTCTAATATTTTTTTCTTCTACCCTATAGTTACAAGAATACGAGCAAAAATTATTTCGTTAATAGACAACATTTCGGTGTAATCCTAAAATAGTGAGAAGTTAGTTAGCTTTTCTTGCTTTGATTGATATAGTCAAACCCTGGTTTCAGCTCTGGAATACCCGGGTCTAGCTGGGTTGAACTGGGGGGGCCGTTAGGGATGAGCTGCGCCCATTTTCCACTTGAGCACCTTACCCTTCTTCAAAGCCTATTAAACTCTCTAAGTTGATACCTGATTCTTATTAGGGTACATGTTTGTTATTAGTGATTATTTCCATATGAAACTGTTCATTCATTTAATTGATGGTATGTTGTTTGTTTATTCTCCTTTCTTAATTACACCTACCCTGCAGGACTGAAAATGCTTCTGGGTGGAGAAAACATCAAAAATAAAGAGAGACAGGAGGTCTTCCCTAAGATTCTTTCTTTCATGTGTTAATATTATGTTTACCCTGAATAAGCAGTGAACTTTTCTCCCTTTCTGGTCTTGTAGTTAAAAGGAAAAAAAAAAATTTCATGATTTACCACTTTTTTTATATATGTTTGGTCCTTCAGATTTCCTTACTCTTTTCTTAATGCTTGTGTTACCTTTTGTTCTTACCTGCCGTCATCTCACCTTCAGTACACAGCCCCTTAAATGGATGGTTATCTGGAAACCTTGCAACACTGGACCAGTTTTTACGTTTGCCTTTGGTTATTTGTTTCTTCCTCCTTATTTCATGTATGGCCTTTAAAAAACTGAGCTCATTTCACTTCAACCCTTTGAAGACTTACTGATTTCCTTTGTTTTTTTCCTCCTTTTTGTTTTCTTTATGGTCGTTCATAAAAATTTATTGTCATACTTAAGTCATCCTTCTCTTTGGAATTTCAGACATTGGATTATATCTGTTTTTTTAGTGAAGTTTCTGAGATAGGAGTTCCTAATATCTAGGGTATTTGTCTGATTATGCCCAGCAGTCTCTTGTCTTTAGTAAACTCTCAGGTGAGACGACCGTTTTGTTTCAAGATTATCATTTCCACTTAGAACGGTAGCTCGTTGCTTAGTATTGTGACAGTGCAGTGGCTTTTCTCTTTGCTTCTCTTAGCTGTGAATTCTGTGGAGCTGTGTGCACCAGGAAGGCTGGCCGCATGTTTGAGGGCCTGCAGTGTGGAAGGGCACAGGGTATTGTGTTGTAGGTTGCCTAATCTTGGACTAGGTTAGCTCACTGCTTCCTGCACTTCCCCTTGATCTGGCCACAGAGGAGGAAGGGTATGAGGTGACCTTGCTGCAGGGGCCACTGAGGAATCTCGTCTCATCTGAATTAGGGTTTTGTGTGTCTCCTTCCCTAGTTGGCCCCTTGTTCCCTTGTTAACGTAGAGGAGAAAGTAATCAGATTAAGAAGTCTAGAGTGAGGGATCAGGTATTAAAAATTAGACAATTTAGAGCAGCTTTCAAACTTTGAATTTGATGTGGAATATATATACAGATGCATAAGGAAGAGTCTGGAAGGATATTAATAGTCATTATCCCTGGGTAGTGAAATATTAAGTGATTTTTTTTTTTTTTTTTTTTTTTTTGTGGTACGCGGGCCTCTCACTGTTTTGGCCTCTCCTGTTGCGGAGCACAGGCTCCGGACACGCAGGCTCAGTGGCCGTGGCTCACGGGCCCAGCCGCTCCGCGGCATGTGGGATCTTCCCGGACTGGGGCACGAACCTGTGTCCCCTGCATCAGGGACCTGTGTCCCACTGCGCCACCAGGGAAGCCCTTAAGTGATTTTTAATCAATTTTATTTTCCATTCTCTTAGGAATGGAAAAAGGAAAGGGAAAAATCTTACGCATGTGACTAAATATGACCTTTTGAAATAAGAAAAACAGTCCAGCCTCTCCCTTGGATCAGTATGGGAGGTAGTGTAGTATACTGGAAAATGTATAGCATTTATGGGCGCTTGGATTATAAGAGACTAGCTAGTGGGAGGAGGAGAGGTTGGCGCTAACAGTCACGATGGTATGAGACAAAGCATGGCTTTTGCCGTGGCCTGCAAGGCCTTTTAAGGTGTGGGAGCTTCTCCTTCTCCCTCCCTGTCATGCCAGCTCTGTCTGTGGTGCCGGAGCGCTCACGGCCCTTGTACACACAGTGCTTTCTCAGGCTTCCGCACTTCTGCGTGTTCATTTGGCCGAGATGCTCTTCCCACTTTTGCCTGTTTGTGTAGTTTCTTTGAAGCTTTCCATAATTCTTTTCTCCGCAAACTTGCTGTTCTTGTTACTTCTGTACTGTTGTACTGTGGACATATTTCTTTTGTTGCACTTGTACTGTATAGTAAATTATTTGTTCACCTCTCTGTCTTCCCTGTAAAACAGTGAGCTTCTTGAGGACAGTTAATTTTCATATTTTCAGTGCTTTGCTTGGTACCCAGCACATAGGAGATGCTCAAGAATGTTTGTGGAATTCAATTGACTTGGGGCCTAATACCTCTGAGAATTCTTACTTTTAAGTGAATTTACTTGCTTAATGTAGTAACCTTCAGCCAAGCATGTGATCTCTGACAACAGAAAATGAAATTGAGAACTGCAGTAAATAACTTGTGTATATTGTGATCCTAGTTGTTAGAGAAGAGTACGTGCAGTAGGCACGCAGGATGAAATGTTCTCCTAGATCAGGGACCCTTGATTTCCATTCACATAGCATATCTAGGGTTTTTAACACCATTTTCACTAGCTTTAGGAAGCACCAGAATTCTTGTAAATTAAGTCAAGTGTTCAGGTATTTATTGAACTGTACTTTCAACTTTTCTATGTTTGAAATTTGGGGGGAAGGCACTATTTTCACCTTTGTCATAATCCTGCCTCTTTCTTTAAGCAGTGGGACCCCATTATGAACCTTTTCTAGGTCCAGTGAGGGAAGTGGGGATTCCTGATGGACGTGAATTATCCCTGGCTACTTTACCCTCTAAAGAGAAATGATGTATAAGAATTACTAAAAACAAAGGATAGAGGGGCTCTCTCTTGCTTAAATTATAGAGGGAAAGACGTGCTGAATTTGGCATATAAGCCTATTTCTTTCTCTACATTTTGGGCCTGTCTTTTCTGTGCCTTTTGCTTTCAGCCCTTCCCTTCTTTATTTCTGGGTCCTTCCCACGCCTTTGGTCCTGAAGGCTGCCTTTATTCAGATCAGTCACTTTCAGTAATCTGTCCTTCCTTAATTCTACCTCCTCACATCAGCAGTAGCTTCATCCCCAGTTGCTATCATTTTTCTTAGAGAAAAGTTGCTCTAGATCTTGTTCCTTTATTCTGCCAACTTCAATGTCCATATTTTTTCCTCATTTTTTCCATTAAAATTTAAAAAAAATTGTGTTGTGAGTGAAATTTAACCCCTATTTTAGTCTCATCTCTGGGCTTTTACAGTTAACATTGTAGTGTATATGTTCCGTTACGGGCTTTTTTTTTTTTTTAAAGTGGGATCATACTGTGTGTATTTAGCAGTTTTGTTTTTTCCCACTGAATAGATCACATACCTCTTTGCATTGTCTCATTTTCTTCTCATTAGACTATAATTGTTTAGAAACAAGGAGGTTTATAATGTGGTGGGACCAGAGGATTCCCTTCCCAGATCGGATTCAGATCTGTCAGTACACAGTGAGCTGTCAGTTCTTCAGCGGTTGGATAGAAGGCACAGCATAAGATACCTGTGCTTCGTATGTGTGGGCAGTTATTTATCTTTCTTCAAATGTTCCTCAATAATAGAAATAGCATGTATGACATTACAGATTATCTTTCGTGTATTTTCTGTCTGTTTTTCATGTTATAGCTTGGACAGCTTTTAGCAGCTACATGCAAAGAACTTCCAGGCCCTAAAGAAAGTAGACGGACTGCTAAAGACCTTTGGGAAGTTGTTGTTCAGATCTGTAGTGTGTCCAGTCAACACAAACGAGGAAATGATGGCAGAATTAGTTTAATAAAGCAGAGGGAGTCTACATTAGGTATAATGTATCGGTATGTTCTATCAGTTTGTTTTTTTAGTTATTTATTTATACTATTTGTAACTGTTGTAAGAACACCTACCATTATCCTTGTGTATCATAAAGATGGGCAATGTAAGAATTCTGTGGTGCTGATCTCCGATGGACTTGTCTGATATGGCCATCTTAGGAAATACCTTGCTTATATGTTACTTTAAGAGACTACTTATTAATCATTTAATATAATCAAACCTGAGTTCAACGTAACAGTTTTGGTTGGATGGTACTGAAGATGTCACATGTGATTAAAGCAGGAAAGTCATTTCATTAGGTTAGTACGACAGTAGAATATTATACTCTTTTATACATGCAGGACTGGAAAGTTAGGAATAAACCTTCACGTATAATTTACTTTCTTGTTTTTACTTTTAATTTCTAATATTAAATGCATATACACAATTTGTGTTTTTTGTAGGAGTGAACTGCTTTCTTTTATCAAAAAATTACGGGTAAGCTTTATAAAAATTGCATCTAATTACTATTGCTGATTTTTGTAGAATATGACAAAAAATACTGAGTGTTTAAATGCTGATTATTTAAGTAATCTGTTAATGTGCTTTTTATCTTCAGTGATTATTTTTTTGAGGATGGGATAGTCTGAATGGAGAAGTTTGTTTTGCATTTACCTTACCATGTTTTAGTGAATAGAACAGGTGTTTTTTAAACTGTGAAGAATTCTTCATAATAGGGCTAGATAGGTGAAGCCTAACTTTAATTTTTCTTGATAGGATTAACGTCATAATATTTATTGGACATAGGTTCCCTTCTTTAAATTCCATCCTTTATTATTTTAAGGAATAAAAAGTCAATTTTTTTCTAGAGGTAGCTGGAAGTACTAGTTGGAAAGAGGTCTGTTTACTCAATTTCAAAAGACGTGAGGACAGACACCTAAATTTGGTCATTTCTGTGTAAATTGTGTGTTGTCATTTCTTTCATGAGATTAAAAATAAAGTTGGTCTTTAGTGTGCTGTGAACTAAAGCAGGTGGTAGTTTTCAAACCCGTAAGAATCTTTGGAAGGAAAATACTTGGTACCTTGATGGGAGAGATACTAAAATATATATAATATTTAAGGATTCTGTGTTTTCTTTCTCATAGGAACCGTTGGTTTTGACTATTATTTTATCACTCTTTGTGAAACTTCACAATGTTCGGGTAAGTATTTTATAATTTCATCTAAAAAATCTTTGGAAGAAATTTCCTTTTAAGTCATGCTTTTTTTTTTTTTTTTTTTTTTTTAAATAAGGAGGACATTGTGAATGATATTACAGCCGAACACATTTCTATCTGGCCATCCACCATCCCCAAGTAAGAAGTATTACAGCTTACATTTTATTAAACTGTTTATATATTTAGAAACCATCCTGACTGATATAGATAACCTTGAATAATTTGATTAAAAGGCTGCAATTTGTTAGGACTCTATAGCCAACTTCATGTTTCTCTATTAACAGTAATAATCTTCCTGAAAATTATGGATAAGGCATAACTAAGTTAAGAGCTAAGGTATACTAGGCTTAAGTAGAACCTAGACAGTCACTCAGTAGTCCTGATTCCTTGTCAGTGGTAGAATTAGAAAATTGAGGCTAATTAAAGAATGACTTTCTATCAGCTTTTTCTAACAGTGATGGTCAGAGGTTCCCAACCCTTTTTAGTTGCCTTAAGAAGTTCTTTAAGTAATTTAAGAAATCTTCTCTCTTAACTTTCATCACCTGAGAATCACAGTAAGAGGATGGGGGAATTTTGGGGGGGGGGGGGAAAGAAAAGCTTCCTCTTCTGGAAGAAGAAACCATTTATATTTTTCTCTTCCCACACGTAGCAACTTCTCATTCAGGAGAGTCCATTTGTTTCCTCACAAAAGTTACTTTTCCTTTTCTCCCTTCCCTGCCAGTCATCTTCTTTGTGCCTGAAGGGCAGATCTAGGCCTTATTTTATTGCTTTTAGTGGCATTTTTGAAGAAAAGATTGTAGTAGGTAGGTAAGCAGGCAGTAGAATGAGAGCAGTTTGCTTCCGTCTCAGTCTTAGAGATTGGAAGCAGTTCTCTCTGACAGGGATTTGGAGAGTCTAAAGTGGGTGAGTGACCCTTCCCTCCGCTTATGAGCCTTAGTTCCCACAGAAGCACTATGCTTCCTGAAGCAAATAACTGCAGATTTTTACATAAAATTTGGTATATTAGATAGCAATCCAAGAATCAGGTAGAGTTCATTTTGCCTTTTTAATTGATGGTTGTAATACCTCTTTGGTGTTACTTCTTTGGCCTAAGTTTAGACTGTAAACTAATGATTGATTTTTTTCAGTGTGTGTTTATAAATGGGGCAAAAGAATGGTTTATCATAGAGGTTCTGAGCCAGACTCAGAGAGACTGAGTCCCAGCCTCTCCACTTCTCAGGTATATGACCTTGGGTTAGTTGCTTTCTGTGCCAGTTTCCTCATCTGTAAAACGGGTATAAGAATAGTACCTACCTTGTGAGGATTAAATAATAAACTTTCTAAGCTAGGTGTTTAGAATAAGGGCTGCCACGTAGTAGGCTTAACTATTATTTTCATGATAAAATTACTTTAATGTAAATTAACCCAGAGAAAATAAAATGTGACTAAATGTTTGACCAGGAAAGATATTTCTCTTGAGCAGAGGAGGAGTCTTCATTGACTCGAAGAATAGTGTGAGGATGGCATGGATTAAGTGTTACTATTTTAAAATTGATTGTTTGATATGTAGATAGAATTCTTAGACTTAACATTTTATAATTTCTAGGAAACATAAACCAGTGTAACTCATTTAAATAATTGTAAATAAATTAGTTGTAAATCAACAGTTGGGTATTTACTAATGGCACCACAATACTTTCCCACTGTACTGGGAACAGTGGTGAGTTATGGCAGAACCTAACCCCTCAGGGCAACAGGAGTACTTTGTCCAACCTTGTTAGATGATAGAGCCAGGACTTGAACCTCGGTGTGTTTCTGAAGCCGAAGCTTGTCCTCCCCCGCTGGGTCTCGCTGTAGGGGCTGTCAGCGTGTTTCTTGGGTGCTCGCTTGGCTTGATCCTCACAGTTGCACCTCCTAATTCTGCATCTCAGGACTTCCAGGCTGAACTAGGCTCAGAGCAGCGGGCCCCTTTCTGTACTCTTTTTTGGATTCTTCATTGCTTGCAAATGAGCTGCAGTGATACCCTTGCATCGCCCCAACCCGGTGAAACATCTAATCCAGAGGAGTTAGTTAACCCTTACAAGAAGCCACAAGGTGAATTTAAGGCCATGTAGCAGTATTGTTAGTGTTTGAGCCCTTGTTTTCTGTAGCTTCCTCTAGATAACAGAACTTAAAAATCATTTGGAAAAATTTTATGAGTCTGTCTCTTTATAATTTTGTTGCCTGTAAATTGTGCATAAAAAGTGGAGACAGGGTTTTATCCTATGACCTTTTTTGTGCTTTATATTGTCCAATATTTAAAGATACTTTTTAGAGTGGCCTTCTTTAGCATTTTGGGAAAATAAAGGAAACAAAAATCAGATTGTTTTCAGCCCCTTATAAAAAGTTAGCTGATCACACTTCCTCAGATTTAGTTGTTTTGATAGTTTTAAAATATTTACTCCTGGTAATATTTAGCATTGTATTTATGATCACCTAAATTTTGACTAAGCCTTTTTGTTTTTAATAAATGTGTGTATGGAATTTGAAGTTGACTCTTAAAATAGAGAGTATGTTTATTGTCTTTATATAGCCTCCAGTCCGTGGACTTTGAAGCCGTGGCTATCACAGTGAAAGAGCTAGTTCGGTATTCCCTCAGTATAAACCCAAACAACCATTCCTGGTTAATTATTCAGGCAGACATTTATTTTGGTAAGTGAGATGTATGGTTGCTTTGTGTTTTGTTTTCATAGCAGTTTTAGAAGTGAAAATAAATATATTACACTTGTTATTACAATACTTTATTAAACTTAAGTCTTGTTTTTGACATTGTCTAACTCTTCTTCCTAGATAAAATTGAAAGTAACTATTATTGTTATATGTATGCATTTTTCTGAGCCTTTGATTCAGATGCTTTTAGTTTTATGTTGACTACTTTTTCTCTGTGTTGTTTTTTTTTAATAGTAAATGGTCATCTAAAAAGTTGGTAAAACACTCTTAAGGAAAGAGGTTAAAGTTTAGTTTACAAAATTGCTCTTTAAATGTTCTAAAATACGTCCAGGCACTCTTGATAATTATTTGTGTTCTTGAAAATAGATTCCTAATTTTTCCCCCCGGTGTATGTGATAGATTTTCCAACTTGATAGGGAATTTCTAATATTTCTATTACTATACAGATCAAATTACAGTTCTGACTGGTATCATTTCTGGGTCACTTTTTTAGGAGTTGATTTTTCTAAAGAGAAAGTTCAAAATGTAAGAGTAGAGAGAATAGTATAATGAATTCCCATGTATCTCCTGTGTCTGCCACCCAGCTTTTATTTTTTAAGTGACTTATTGCAAGCAGCCTTAAGTCATTTTTATTTTTTTAAATTGAAGTATAGTTGATGTGCAGTATTACATAAGTTACAGGTTTACAACATAGTGGTTCACAGTTTTTAAAGGTTATATTCCATTGATAGTCACTACAAAATACTGGCTGTACCTCCAGATACTAAATTCTGTACCAGTAAGTTTGACAGGGAATCTGAGCTGAATATTTGGCTAATCAGTTTGAGAAGGAAAGACTCTATTATACAACTACTTTAAAGTGGTTGAAAAAATAAAGCCAATTTTTCTCATTGTTGGCCTGGCTAAGTGTTATCCCTAGGTCTGTGGTTTGAATCTGCTTTTGTCAAACATGAAGTAATAATACCTGACTCTTCACAAAAGAGGCCCTGTTTTTCCAGCTGTGTATTTAATGGCTGGTAATTCTTTATTTCTGTTTTCTACTTCAAGCAACAAATCAGTATTCGGCAGCTCTTCACTATTACCTCCAGGCAGGAGCTGTGTGTTCTGATTTCTTTAATAAGGCTGTGCCCCCAGATGTTTATACAGACCAGGTAGGTTGTTTTTGTGGGCTTACTTGCTTCTTGTCTGTCTTTAAATGTTCTTCTTCCTGGGCCTCTTTTTCCATGAGCTTATTCATTTCCATGTATATGGTGGTAACTCCCAAATTGATTGCTCTAGACCAGATTGCTCCCCATATTTCCAGTGCCCACAGCTATTGCTGCTTTGATTTCCCAAAAACACCTCAAACTCAACCTGTCCAAAACTGATTCAGCATCTTTTTCTTTTTTTTTTTTTTTAGTATTTATTTATTTATATTGGCTGGTCCGGGTCTTAGTTGCGGCTTGCAGGCTCTTCGCTGCAGCATACAGGCTCTTAGTTGCGGCATGCGAACTCCTTCTTAGTTGGCAGCATGCGTGTGGGATCTAGTTCCCTGACCAGGGATCGAACCCGGGCCCCCTGCATTGGGAACGCGGAGTCTTACCCACTGGACCACCAGGGAAGTCCCCTGATTCAGCGTCTTACTCTACCAGTCTCTCCTCCTGATGACCTTCCCACACCAAAACCAAAACAAAAACGGAAGACCCCACCAAAATAGCAGTCACCCTTGTTTAGCCCTTTGAGTTGACCAAGCATAAATCCTGAATGTCATCCTCTTTTCTTTACTAACCCTCCCACCAACATCTATTCAGCCTTCAAGGCATATTGATTCTGCCTCCTAAATCTCAAATTTTGTTAATTTTCTCTCAATGTGCATTACCCTTTCCTCTGGTTTAGGCCACCAATATCATAATTTAATAAATGGCATTTTTTAATATTTACAATAATGGCTTTTGAAATAAGATTTAAAATTTTTTAATAACTAGATTTTTTTAACTTAAAAGTTCTATTTTTTTGAGCAGTTTTAGATTCATAGCAAAATTGAGTGAAAAATAGAGTTTTCATGTACCTCCTGTCCCCATACATGTACAACCTACCTCACGATTGACATCCCACATCAGAGTGGTACATTTGTTACAATTGACATTAACTAGTTTTTGAAAATAACCAGAATTTTGTTTTTGTAGGTAATAAAACGAATGATAAAGTGCTGTTCTTTGCTGAATTGCCACACACAGGTTAGTTTATAATATTATGATGCTGGTCTGTTTTCATGAATATTAGAGTTTATAATAAATGTAAGGCATTGGACTGGGAAGTAGCTTTTATTTTCCGTATCATAATTGCTTAAATTTATGGTATTTAAGAATTTGTATGTTCTTTAAATTTTTTAAAAATAGTTTACAGAATTTTAACTAAAATGAAAGTATGAGTTAGAAGACATTGGTCTTTGAACCTTATAAATGGAAAAAGCATCCTCAAGTATGTTTTCTTATATTTAAAAGTAGATATGTACATTAATCATTAGGGAAATGTAAGCACTACAATGAGATGTCACTTCACACTCACAAGGAGGCTGTAACTGAAAGATAGTAACAAGTATTGGTGAAGATGTGGAGAAATTAGAACCCTCATATATTGCTGGTAGGAATATAAAATGGGGCAACCTCTGTGGAAAACAATTCGGTGCTTGCTCAAGAAGTTAAACATTGAATTACCTACCATATGACCCAGCAGTTTCACTCCTGGGTATATAACCAAGAAAACTGAAAACGTATGTCCACAGAAGAATTTGTACGTGAAATGTTTATGGAAGCATTATTCATAATAGCCAAAAAGTGGAAACAACCCAAATGCTCATCAGCTGATGAATAGATAAATGAGATTTGGTGTGTGTGTGTGTGTGTGTGTGTGCGCGCGCGCGCGCACACACACAATGGAATATTATTCAGCCATAAAAAAGAGTGAAGTACTGATACATGCTACAACAGGGACGAATCCTGGAAGTTTTATGTTGAGTAAAAAAAAGCCAGATACAAAAGGCTTTGTATTGTATGATTTCATTCATTTGGAATGTCCAGAATAGGGAAATCTATAGAGTCAGAATGTAGATTAGTGGTTGCCAGAGACTGCGGGGTGGAGAGGTAGGGGAGAAATGGAGACTGACTACTAATGGGTATGGAGCTTTTTGTTTTTTTGCCGGAGGCGGGTAATGAAATGTTTTAGACTTAAAAGCGGTGATGGTTGTACAATTTTGTGAATATTCTAAAAACTACTGAATTTTATACTCTGAAAGTTACATTATGATTTGTGAATAATAATCAATTTAAAAATCTTTAAATATTTAAAAAAGAGATCAGCATTATGACCTACATACATGACTGAAATGGATCTGTTTTCAATGTTAAGCAGACTGGCCTACATTTTGCCAAAATGAGCTTCTGTACTTGCCAGCTGTGAAAGGTTTAATTGGATGTTCTGTATGTCCTTGAATGTTTGACACGTTTGTTTGGCAGTTTTCCATTCCCTTCAGTTTTCGAAACAGGCTTTTTGCCAGCTTCTCATTCAGATAAATCTCTAAAAATTTATGATTTAGGTCACAGGGGAAGAAAATATTGGGCAGACAGACACTTGTGTAAGGGTTTTTTTTTTGTTTTTTTTTTTGTTTTTTTTTTGTGGTACGCGGGCCTCACTGCTGTGCTCCGTTGCGGAGCACAGGTTCCGGACGTGCAGGCTCAGTGGCCATGGCTCACGGGCCCAGCCGCTCCATGGCATGTGGGATCTTCCTGGACCGGGGCACGAACCCGTGTCCCCTGCATCGGCAGGCGGACTCTCAACCACTGCGCCACCAGGGAAGCCTGGTGTAAGGGTTTTTTACAATTAAAATTGTATGGATTCCATACATATCAGCTGATCCACTCAGCCTGATCTGCAAGGCCTCTTAAATTAAATAATATACTCTTGACATGAGAATCATTAAAAATGACCCCTCCAAAACCAGTAGTCATTGTTGATACTAGTTACATGAAACCATTTTCAATTCTTTTTTTATGTAGGTGGCAATTTTATGTCAGTTCCTCAGAGAGATTGACTACAAAACAGCCTTTAAATCACTGCAGGAACAAAACAGGTATGAATGGTTTTTGAAATAAAATGAAGTTGAAATTTTTCTGCTTAAGAAAGAGGAAGTAACTGAGTTCTGTTTTTCAGTCATGATGCTATGGACTCCTACTATGACTACATATGGGATGTTACCATTTTGGAATACTTGACTTGTATCCTTCATCAACATATGTGTGATGTTAGAACAATTCATTTCTGTAAATTAAAGAAGTATTTAATATTGTGTATTTTCTAAATAAAAAACAAAGAACAGTTGAGAATCTATCGTGATATTTAATAGTATCAAATTTATTATTCTTAACTGACTCATTTAGATCTTCATCACAAAAGAGGAGAAACAGATAAAAGACAAATTGCGGTAAGTTATTTTATGCCTTGATTCTTCAATGATGTGCTTAATTTCCCTAATACTAAACTATTTCATGTCTCATACAGCATCAAAGTCCTTACAATGGCCTGCAAGGCCGCATGTGACTTGACCTCTAGCTATTCATTCAACTCTCCCTTGCTAACTTCTCCTACACCAGTACCCCTACTGTTCTTTGAACATGCCAAGAACATTCACTACCGAATGGCCTGTGAAATTTTCTCTTTCAGGAACATTCTTTTAATTTCCCTTAGGTCTCTTCTCAAATGTCACCTTCTTAAGAAGTAATTGTCCTTTCCTCACCATCTTATAAAATAGCAATGTCTCTCCCCCTTTCCCTCCAATACTCTTATTCTCATTTCCCTTTTAAAACTTTTCTCCATAGCACTTATCTACAATTGACATACTGTGTATTTACTTATTTATTGGCTGTTTCCCCATGAAGGTAGGAATTGGTTTTGTCACAGCTGATACCTAGAATGGTGCCTGGCAAATAATAGATGCTCAGTAGTTACTTGATGGATGGATTATTTATTTAAATTTGACTTATAAACCAAAGCATTACAAATTCATGGTCATTTTTACAAGCCTAACATTTGCTGTGTCACTATTACCATATATGTTTTCTCTTTGCTCTTTCACTCATTAATAAAAGTATATGCCGTTTATTAAGTGTCCTTTAAAGCTTTGTACTTGGACTAAATTGTATGGCCCTTATTTAGAGGAAACAGAATAACAACAGCATCTTTCAAAAAAAAAAAAAGAGGAAAAAGAATATGGTGCCAGTTCCACTTAATTGGAGACTACTCATTCTCCCATTTCCAACTTACCCAGGGCTGGAAGGCAATGCTGAAAATTTCCCGGTTCCCTGATGGCATTTCTAGACTATCTCTACTTGTATCATTTTTTAAGCCCTTTCTCCTTGGAAGCTTACACCTACCTCCTTACTAGTTCATCTAAACAACTACCTGGCTGTTCCTCTGCATGCATCAAAAGACATGTGATCAACTTATCCAACACCCCTGGCACTCCAGGTTCCATTATCACCTTTACTCTTCATCAGCCACCCACGGCCAGGCCTTTTTGTCAGAACTGCTCTACATAAGATCTCTGTGCCAGTAATCTATCCCTTTCTTACTTCCGGGCTCCCATTTTCCTCATCATCAGTGAGATGTTCAAGTTCATGACCAAGTTTTCCCCAGTCTGTCAGCCCTTTTCCAACTTCTGTTCCTTCCCTACTGACCTTGAGTACAGCAAATACTGGCCTGTGTACTCTCAGAGATACTGATTCATTTGATCTGAGATGAGACCCTGCGATCCAATTTTTAAGTTTTCCCAGGTAGTTCTGATTATAAACCAGATTTGGGAACCCCTTCTATCTAAGGTTGACTGTCGGGACTACTCTAATATTTTCAGCATCTTTGCTTTTTTGTCTTTTGCTTTATCTGGAAAAGTCCCAACCCTGAATCAGTTCAAAAATTTATGCTTTTTTTCCCCTGAGCCACTGAGTTCTGTTGGAAAAAATCCTACAACTGTATAAACTTGTGCCACTACCAAACCATGGCCTCCAACCTTAGCTGGCCGCTCATTTCTTTTGTTTACCTGCCTGTGGTCAGTGGTCTGCACTTTTTTAGGGAATACTTTAGACTTTCACCCTATTAAGTCCCTGTCCTCTCTCCCTTTTCCATTTTCAGTAACTTCCTTGTCTGTTTGGAGTAGACCAGAAAAAAAGACTGATTAGCCCCCGTCCTTGTGAAAGTTATAGTCTTGGGAGTTGTGGCCCCGTGAGTGCCAGCTTCACATTCCTGTTTCAGGTCCCTGCTTTCCACCTTCAAAATAATTGACAACTGTATTCATTGTTAAGGCCACGCCTTTAGTCAGTAAAAGCTTATGCTACTCCTTGATGAAGACAAGTTTTTATGCTTTTGATTCTATCCTTTCAGTGATTGTCCCTTTCAGTTAGTTATCTCCTCTCCTATACTGTCAACCACTCCCATACCTATAAACTATTTCTTCCTTAATAGAAACTTCTCTTGACTGTACTCCACCTCTCTCTCATCCCTTTTCTGCCTAGTTTTTTTTTTTTTTTTGCGGTAAGCGGGCCTTTCACTGTTGTGGCCTCTCCCGTTGCGGAGCACAGGCTCCGGACGCGCAGGCCCAGCGGCCATGGCTCACAGGCCCAGCCGCTCCGCTGCACGTGGGATCTTCCCGGACCGGGGCACGAACCTGCGTCCCCTGCATCGGCAGGTGGACTCTCAACCACTGCACCACCAGGGAACCCCTCTGCCTAGTTTTTTAAAGCTCTTTGATCCAATACAATTTGACTTCTGCCGTCCCCGCTCTAACTGTTCTCAAGGGCCACCAAATGCCAAAGCCAGTGAATACTTTTCAGTCTTTATCCTGTTGTTTACACTCCTTCCTTCTTGAAATTCTTTATTCCTTTGGCTTCCCTGGCATTTTTACTCATCTCTTCTCCTTGACTCTTCTGCCTTTTCTTCTTTGTGGGTATTTCCCTCTGTCTACCCCTTAAACTTGGTTTTCCCAAGAAGTTAGTCCTTGGGTATTTTCTGATGGCCCTACATTCTCCCTAGGTAACCTCATCCCCTCATGGTTTTGACCACTACCCACCTAGGATGTGTTATTTCTCTCAAATATCTGGCTCCTATTTCAATTTCTGTCTTATACTTTGAACTTTTATATTTTTATAGCCAGTCGTCTTCAGGATACTTTGCCTGAAATAACTCTTTAGTTATACCCCACTACTAGGTTTTTCCACATGTATTCTTTTATGTGGAAATGGCATCATCCGCAATTCTTCCTACCCACTAACCTAACTGATGATCATTTCTGGATAGTCTTAGCTCCCTTCAGGCTACCTATCAGAATAGTTTTTGTTGTTTAAAAAAAAAAAATATATATATATATATATATATATATATATATATATATATATATATATGAACTTCTTTAAACAAAAGGTAATTTTAAGGTCCTAAAACATGCTCTCACAAAACACTCCATGGCAGAATACTATTATGGATTTTTATCAGGCTCAAGTATTTCTAATCATGAAAGAGAAGGGTCACTATATATTATAGTGCTGAGCAAACTAGATATTTTTTACATATTAAAAAAGTGAAGCCTTGAAACATGAATTTTGATATTTCAAGTTATTTTATAGGAGCCTTAATTGTAAAAATGTGTCAGATTACATGTAGAGTTTATTTACTGTTTTTTTTAATATATTTTATTTATTTATCTGGCTGCACCAGGTCTTAGGTGCAGCATGTGGGATCTTTAGTTGTGGCATGTGGGATCTAGTTCCCTGACCAGGGAATCGAACCTGGGCCCCCTGCACTGGGAGCATGGAGTCTTAGCCACTGTACCACCAGGAAGTCCCTTTACTGGTATTTTTAGTCAAATAAATTTACATGAATTTAGTTAATGTTACTGAATATAATTCCACAAACTATGGTTCAGTAACTGGTCTTTTCCTTGAGTGGCTCCAGTCAGTCTTTGTTAATTTCTTCTACACCTCTTAGCATCTACAACTAGAGGTTCAGTTTATCATTGTTAGCAAGTAGGTAGTTTTATATTTTGTATACTAGCAAAACTTTGTTTTTGACCAGACCTCTAATAACATCACTTTTCTGTTTTGGAAGATAAAAGCCATCGGCCAGACAGAATTGAACGCAAGCAACCCAGAAGAAGTGTTACAGCTGGCAGCGCAGAGAAGGAAAAAAAAGTTTCTTCAAGCAATGGCAAAACTTTACTTTTAAGCAGTTAGTTAAAATTTTTTGACTTTTATTTTTTAAACAATGGGCTAAAAATAAACAGTATTAAAAGATTAAGTTTACATAATACATATTTACATATTTAGTGGCGTTTTCTTTTCAGACAAAAATACTGAAACATTTTAGTTTAAAAACAAAAACTCTACAGAAGACTTCACACCATAACAATAGCTTAAATTTATAATTTCTTCAAAGGAAGAAGAGATTCACATGTCCAGTAACAGAATAAACTAGAAATCTAGTATAATTTTTCTAATCAAATCCACTTTTGAGGCTGAAATTTCATTTTTAAAAAACTAAAATATTTATGTAGAAGTAGCTATATACAGCAAGTTCTTATGTCAAGGTTTTTTTTTTTTTAAATAAATAGATTTCTAGGAGTCGTATACATTTACTGCTTTTCTGCCTTAGGAAAATACAAGTTTAGGTCAAGTGCTAAGCTTTATCACTTTGACACTGTCCTTAACTCATAATGTAGGAATTTAAAAAGGACCTTAGCAGTTTTGCAAACATAAATAAAGCCGTAGTCACACTAAATTGAGATAACCCTAAAGATTTTTTTTTTTAGAGTAATAAAGTGACTTTCTCATATAAATAGTTTGAAAGGGTACTTAAGTTATTTGCCCAAATTGTGATGTTCGAAAAAGTTATTATAAAGCAACTTATACGTCAAAGCCCCACGTAGGAGCCACAGCATTTATCTTGTTTATAATTTCTTTGGCATTCCCACTGTTTAGAGCACAGTTTAAACACCATGTTCATCTAAGATTTACTGGTTAAAAATGTTATGGCAAGGCAAATAAACATAGTCAAACAGATTAAAGAAGTTCATCATTTTTAAAAATTCAAGTTTTATAATAGCTTGCTACAGCAGCTATAGATAAATTAGTCACCTTATTACAAAACTAAACCTTTGTAAACAAGTTTAAATTTTATTTTCAAGAACCAAATTGCACTAGTTAAGAGTATAAATTTTGAGAATCTAAAAACTAGATTCAAAGTACTGTATCACTTAATGTACCCTGTAAGGTAGCACTTATCTAGTCAAAAACTCCAATGATGAAATTCCTAGTTTATCAAGATAAACATAGTAACACCGTATCAAAGAAATTCTTATGTCATGAATCATGGCTGGCTTCTATCCAGTCAGTCTTGGGAATGAAGTCATCTTTGTAAACAAGTCCTGCTGTTTCTTTAAACAGCGAACATAGGAATTAAATTTCCTCCTTAGTGCCAATTTTAAGTGGTTTTTTAAATCAAAGAATGCCAGTGAAACTTCTGAATCGGCCAGGACAGCCACAGCACTATTTTCCTGTAAAACTTAAGTAGTTAAGTTCTATGAAGTGCTACGCAGCACTTCATCACTTCCAACTTGTTTGCTCAGTTAACTTTAGTGTTTTCCTGGTGGTTTTTCAGTGCTCTTCGGTGGTGTCATAATGCCTCCATTGCAAACTGGTGACAACTGTCCCCCCTTTCTGAAGGTGTTTATATAATTTACTTCATCCTGTACATGTGAAGAAATCATGCAGAGATTAACAGCTAAGATAAAGCATTGATATGGTAAAAAAGTCAAACAAGACTTCTGTGTACTAATTTGAGACTACTTAGGCCTAATATAATCGTCTCTTTATGTGTTTGCAACTGTGATTAGTCATATTTTAGAGGTTCAACTGCCTGCAATTTGTATTTTTAAAAACTCTTACCTGGACTATTGGCATTAATCTTGAGACACTTCATAAATCTTGCTTTGACTTCAAAGTTATTTTATTAGCTTTTCTACATTTTTTTTTTTTTTTTTTTTTGCA